ATACATGTCAGGTTCAAGTTGAATAGGAAACAACATGTTCTCAAAGAACTCCAAACTGTCTGTCTGTGTGTTCAGGCCTCCTTTTTCTTTTTCTTTTTTTAAATAGCAACACAAAGTAGCACCTCTCTTGCTCGTTTTTTTTTTTTTTTTTTCCTGGTGACCACTAAAAATAATAATGGCTATAGTTTTGCTGTGTATTGTGTGCCGGGCACTGTGTATGCACTTACATCATTTCACTTAATTCTCATAACCCTATATATACTGATAATATTAGAAATGAGGAAGCTGGGGGTTAAGAGTGGTTGCATAATGTACCAAAAGTCACCCAGCTAGAAAGGAGTAGAACTGGTTTGTGTGATTCAGAACCCACTTCTTTTTCAGTCTTCCCCTAACCTCCACCAAAGCACCTCATGAAAACAGCAACACAGAGGCACACCTTAGGGTTGTATCCTGTCCCGTGACTGATGGTGTTACTTCCCATGGTGAGTCCCACCTCCTTAAGCCAGTTTCTGTGCCTCTGTGTGTGGTGGTACGGGCCTGCTTCCTGCATCCTGCATTGGGTTCTTCCATGGGTTGCTTCCATGTCTTCCTTCCTGGTGACAGAAGATTCTGTTTCGAGTTCCAGCTACAGTTATGGCTCCTTATGGAAAGGGCCTGTCTGCCCAGAGGGCTAGGAAGGTTTGACATGCACTGCCTGTATAGTTGGTTGGTTGTTGAATAGGTAAGATCCTTACTTCTAATCATAATATTTTACATCTATTCTTTACATGCAGATCAACATGAGCCAGCTGAGGTGGTAGCAAATCTTCCTTTAATTTCTACTGTGATGGATTATTATATCACTTAAAATAGTGTTTAAGTTGTACACGTGTCCTGAGGCTTTTAAATATTGAGCTTATTTGATTATTGTTGGAAATCAATTCAGAGTCCACAATATGTTCAATGAGTTGGATTCATGGAATCTGTGGCCCCGTTAAGAGGTACCGTTGTCTAAAAATTAAAATGTCGTGAGGCCCCATACACTTCTTATTGTCTACCTTTTTTATTTTATCTTCCTTCCTAAAACTTAGGGAGCTTTTCTTTTTCTCTTAAGTGGGAAGAAGACGGTAGTAGGTGGTTATTTTTTGGTTCCAGCTCTCATCGTTTTTCTCCCATTTAACCACCTCTCTCCTTTCTCCTCAGCCATGCAGGCTCTCTCTGATCTTGCACTACTTTTCTTTCCACTCACCCTTTTTCATTCCTTCTAGTTTGCCCTGTGCTGGTTGGACAACATTCCTATTTCAGCAAGCTACTTTTCTTTCTTCTTCTGAGGGAAAGGGTCACTTCTTTTGGATGCCTGTGAACTTGTTAGATTAAAGGGTGAGAGGAGCAGAGTGACTCACTCACAAGCAGCAAATTCGAATGTCTGGGCTCTCCAGGGCTCTTTCTAGCACCAGGCCACCTGGGACACTGCTGTAGCTGCTTATGTGGTGGATTTTAATTGTCCTTTTTTAAGGTCAGAGGTATAGTGAGGACTGAATGTGTGTGCATAAATGTTTATCCTTCAGAAGGTATGGAAGATAGTCTTGAATAAGTTTTGGGATTGGGATTTGAAGCTGAGCATAACCAGAAACCCCTGCTTGTGAACTTTTTTTTTTTGGGGGGGGGTTTCCTACAAAGAGAAGTGAGAGAAGAAATAATTCTACTCCAGGGAAATGCATAATTTAGCAGCCGTCTGCATGTATAAGAAAACAGACTCTGTGGCTGCCGGATAAACCTAGACTACAGCCCGGTCTCATTGTTTCCTTTCCTTCCCTCAGTGTTTGTATAAGACAGATGAGTCCAGTACTCCTGACGCTTCCCACTGGGCAGCTGAGGCTGTGGACTTCAGAAGCATTTGGCGCGGAGGAAGCCTCCCGCCAGCTTTCCCCTGCCTGTCTTCTGTTCCTTATATGAACTCCACCTTCTTCTTTCCTGGAAATGCTGTCCTTGCTGAGAGTAGATCAGGAGTATTAAAGTTTGAACAGATTTCAGGAAACTCCAAGAGGGGTACTTGGCTCTTTCTCCCACCTATAACACTTCAACACCGAACAGCATTGGCCCACTATGTTTAAAATCAACAAAATATTCACTATGGCTTTTGGTTTATCCACCTTTGTTTTATCACTTTACCTGCTACCCAGAGTACACACCTGGGGTGTGATGAAGGGGCTCTGGATTCAGGCATTCCTGTATCTTCTTCCCATTTCCTGTGATGGACAGGAATATCCCCGAGGCAAAGCTGGGGGTCTGTTTCTCACTTACATGTCCTTCAAGTATTTCTATAATGTTCACTTTAAAAAAAAATGTGATTTTACATCTTTAAAAGTACAGTGGTGGAAGACTGAGCAGGGAATGTAACTGGGTCCCAAGATGTCAGAATCCCTTAAGTGGTCATACTTCCTATGTGTAACTAGTCACCCTGGATATGGGGCCTGCATGGCTCAGGGATGTGGAAGGTGTCACTGGAGGGTAAGGGATAATGGCCACTGTTTTCCTTAGGCCTAATGCCTAAGGTACTTGACTGCTAACCAGAAGGCTGGTGGTTCAAACCCACCAGCCACTCCTTGGAAGGAAGATGGGGCAATCTACTTCCGTAGTGATACTGCCTCAGAAACCCAAGGAGGGGTCGCTATGAGTCAGGTCCGACTCGACAGCACATTACAACAACAACAATGCTCACCAGTGGTGTTGGCCACTCAGGAAGATGTAGAGTCCCACGGATGTGGTGGCCTTTGGTGACCACTGTGGTGGGAAGATGGCAGGGAGGATGGCAGCCTCCCTTTGGAAGATTTGGTTCCAATGAGGTTTTGAGAGAAAAGAAGACTGTGGTTTGCAGGCTTTCTCTAAACATCCAGGTAGATCCCAGATAATCCAGCAAGGAAGGTTTCATTTTGTTTGTCTTCCTCCCCCATCTCTCTAAATAATTTTAACTTCAAAGCATGATGCAGGTGTTAATTAACACTCACTGTTCTCCTGGGAAGTAGGCAAGTGGGAAAACTCACCCCTATTAGTGAAACCCAAGGAATAGACAGGTTACAAAGCCTTAGGGAGGTGAACCAGGGAGAAGTGCAGTGAGTCTAGCAGGTTTAGGGCTCATGGCTCTGCCCTCAGACCTTTACCTGGAGGTCACCTGGTTGTCCTGGGAGCTACTACACTTTCTCAGTGTCCTTAGTTCCCAATAGTATAAAAGAAGTCACGGCCATGGTAGGACAGACGTTTGGTTCTATGGGTTGTGTACAGGGAATCCGAGGGTAGGGAAGAGAGTCTAGTCAAATTTACTGCCTCAGGCGCAGAAGTCTGCAATTATTCCATTGATTTCATTCAGTCACTTGCTTTAAAAAAAAAAAAAAAAAATGTCCTGAGCATCTCTGGGTGTGAGGTACTACAAAGGAAGTCACTTCTCCCAAAAAAGCTGGTTAGCCACAAGGAAATCCTGCTGTTTGGAAATTGACCCTTTGTATATCATCCTCAGTCCATAAGCAAAGGAGGGTGTGAAGTTTGGTGCATCTGCAGTTGGTGATTTCAACAAGTCCCACCAGTAAACAGATAAGAAATCCACATATGAATGTTTCATGTAGTGAATCATTAGTGACCGAAAGTCTTCTTTTTCTCCAGCCATTGGTCTCAATCAGCAGAGGAGAGGGAAGCCCTTAGGAGCCCTCTCCTGGGGGCTGTGGGCAGCACATTTTGAAGGCTGGCCTTTTCTAGGGCTTCCTAAGAATGGTGATGATGCCTTGGGCTGGTGTCTGTGGAGGCTACCTAGGATAACTGCTCAGAGCACTAAGTTGATACTAAACCTCTAACTCTAGAAAACTGATACTGGGTTTTTGAGATGCTTTCTTCTCATTCGTTGATCATCTTGGGGATTTTCTAAGAAAAAGAGTCTGGAGTCATTTTCTCCTGTAAGTGTTGCCTTCTCTCTGGGTGGCAGTTGGGCTCTACTTGTGTTGTTGGAAGTTTTGTTCCAGTTGTTGTGAGGTGCTGTTGAGTCGGCTCTGACTCATGGCAATCCTATGTGCGACGGAACAAAACACTGCCCAGCTGGTCTTCAAAATCTTTGCTACGCTTAAGCCCATCATTGCAGACACTGTTTGTCAGTTTATACTCTTGAGGGTCTTCCTCTTTTTCACTGACCCTCTACTTTACCAAGCATGATATCCTTCTCCACGGAGTCGTCCCTTCTGACAACATGATCAAAGTACATGAGACCAAAGTCTGGCTGTTCTCATTTCTAAAGAGCATTCTAGATGTACTTCTTCCAAGACAGGTTCGTTCGTTCTTCTGGAAGTCAGTGGTATTTTCAGTATTCTTCACCAATACCACAATTTAAATGCATCAATTCTTCTTTGGTCTTCCTTATTCATTGTCCAGCTTTCACATGTATGTGAGACTATTGAATATACCATGGCTTGGGTCAGATGTACCTTAGGCGTAAAAGTGACATCTGTGCTCTTTACACTTTAACAATATCTTTTGCAGCGATTTGGCCAAGGCTATCTGTCATCTGATTTCTTGACTGCTGCTTCCCTGGTGTTGACTGTGGATCCAAGTAATATGAAATCCCTGTCTTCAGCCTTTTCTCCACTTACCATGCAATTGCTTTTTGGACCTGTCATGAGGACTTTTGTTTTCTTTGTGTTGAGGTATAATTCATAGGGAAGGGCTGTGGTCTTTGATCTTCATCAATAAGGGCTTCAAGTCCTCTTCACTTTCAGAAAGCAAGGTTGTGTCATCTGCATATCACAGGTTGTTACTGAGTTTTCCTCCAATTCTGATGCCATGTTCCTCTTCATATAGTCCAGCTTCTTGGATTAATTGCTCAGCATACAGAATGAATTGGTATGGTGAAAGGATACAACCCTGACGCACATCTTTCCTTAAACTATGCAGCAGCTAATAATCTCTTTTTCTTGGCACTGCAGGCTGCTGAGCACCAGCCCCAGACCTCTGTTTGAAGGTCCTTCCTCTGAAGACATCACCAGTGTGTGGAGCCCGCCCCACACCCACCCCCTGCCAAACCACGGCCTTTACCTGTGTCTTCCGGTGTTTCCCGTGCGACCCGTCCTGTGGGAGTGCCTCGTGGGCTGCCCCGGAGTTCACCCCACGCTCAGCGGCACCAATGGTGAAGATGACAAGATCTAAGACTTTCCAGGCATATCTGCCTTCCTGCCACCGGACCTACAGTTGCATTCACTGCAGAGCTCACTTGGCTAATCATGATGAACTCATTTCTAAGGTAGGTTTTCCCTGCAGGCCCTTCTTTGCCTGTCCCAGGGGAGGGTACTTCCTGTTCCTAAAGTTGCTTAGGTTTGCAAACTCTCCCAAAGAAACTGGAATATTTGTAGTCCATCTTTTATATACGGAGGGCTGACCTGCATGACTGTCTCATTCAACTGAGAAATAACTCTGGGTTATTTTTTAGGGTGTCTTAGGAACAGTGAGGGTGGACATTATGCTAGTTTAATTTCTCATTTAGGGAATTAGATGTCATCCCTTCTAGAAGCTTTGGGGGCTGGCAGCTTGCAGGCCAGATGAGGGAGAGGGTGAGGAGTGAGCAGCCTCATTCTCAGCTTGCTTGGTTTACGTTGGCAGATGAATGCCATGTAAAGTGCTGCTCACTTAGACAGTAAATGTTTAAGAAAGGCCAAGGAATGGGACGGGGAAAGGTATCTTGTGAGAAGAATTTCTTTGCTGAGTAAGAGAGAACTTTGCCTTCAAAGCCCCTGAGAAGGTTATGAGACTGCTGAATTATTAAGGGTAGCCTGTTGAAGAGATGACCCACTGGCATTTGGGGGCCTGTAGAGCCTGCATATAAGGTAATAAGGCTCCAATTCTGACCACAATCAGAATAAAGAGTGGAATCTTATTTTCTTTTAGGCGCCTTGGCAACTGCTTCCTGAGGTTGAGGCAAGGTTTTTTTTTTTTTTTTAAATCCTGTAATCCAGGAACTGGATCCTTTAGGCATCATTCTCAAGGGAGCTGTCTCCCTCTTGGACCTGGATTCCCAAGAAACTTTATGCAGATCCAGAGTAAATTAAAAATAAAAAACCATGTTCCTGGAAAAAGCCAAGTTGACTTTGTGGTGCTCAGCATGAAATCTGCCAGGACTGAGCTGGCCACAGGATAGGTTTCACCAACATAGAGAATTAGGGCAGAGGACAGCTGTGGGATCATAGCAGTGATCTGGAATTCCTGCGAATGCTTCCTGCCTTAGACCCAGGTCTTTGGAACTTCTCCTCAGAAGGAGTTGGGATTTGCCTTTTCTACGGAGCTACAGCAAAGAAAAATGAGCCTGAGTAGTGACCCAGACCTACAGCAGATCTGTTCCCAAGAACTGTGCTAGAAAAGGTGGCATCACTTTTCTTGCCTCTGGCTTGGAGCCCCAGCCAGAGAGGGCTGAAGCATCAGTCAGTAGTTATAGAACAGTCCTATCCAGCTGGCTGATTTGACACAGGAAGTGAAGAAGGCTGACCAAACAGCCCAGTCTGTGATCATGGGGAGTCTCGCATGAGGACTGAGGTCTGAGGTCTTTTTGTAACTATTGCTGGGTCGAAGATTGCCTCAGAGCTTGAGCTCAGAGCTGAAAGGATAGCAGACTTTTCCTGGGGGGGCTGTCTGTCATCTTTGAGGAGTCAGCTTTGTCCCTGCCATGGGAGCTCAGGGAGACTCTAGCAGAAGCAAGTCTTCCTGGGGCCCTCAGAGTCGTGAGACCAGGCTAGGCTTCCATTCTGCCCCACTGCCACTTCTCACCGTTTCTGCTACAGTTGCTCTCTCCTTTATGTTTTTTGTTTCAGCCAGCCTTGGGCTTCCTTCTGTCAACTCATGTCAGATTCCCTCTAAGGTTTTGTGGAAGCCTGAGTCTGGCAGTTTGGATATGGGGAGGTTATGGCAGTGAGGGAAGAAAGGAGTCAGTCCACTTGGCTTTGGAAAGGGCCCGCATGCTTGAAGAGGAATTGTGAATTGTCTTTTTCCCAGAAATCTTCTGTATCTAGTGGGGAAGCCAAGGCGTCATTTGAAAGAAGTGCTGTGTGTCATAGGAAATTTAGGTACCAATAAAGCACTTTTGTGGAGGAGGAAGAAAGATTAATATTTATTGAGCGCTCTCTGTAATGCTAAAAACTGCTACTTGATGCTTCAGAAATGTTATCTCACTTAACCCCCATGAGAAGTCTAAGATAGGTGATATTAGTTGCATTTTCTGTGTTCTTTTAAGTTCTCAAATTAGGGATTGGCAGGGTCAGAGGTTCAGAGAAGAGACAGAGCGATTGTTTTGAGCTGGGAGATTGAGAGAATTTCTGGAAGAGATGCTATTTGAGTGAGACTGTAAAAAGAGTAGAAGTGGAGATGGTAATGGCATTCACAGTTGATACCTTATCTCTTTAACTTGCTGTACAGGGCCTTTAACTATCTCATGGAACCTGGCTTTTAAATTACTCCCTGTTCAGCCACCAGGATGTAAGCAATATATCTCAATATACAGGGAGGGTTATTTCAGACCTCTGTTCTTCCTCTTTCATCTCTCTCCTGAGCTCTAATACATCCTTTCTGACCTGGAACCATGTCCTATCATCTCTATATGTCAGGCTCACACCTTTGGCAAGAGCTCAGTAAATGAACAAATAAATGAACAGATGGAGTATGATAATTGGAAGAGAACAAGTGATGAGCAAAAAAGATTTTGCTGGCCTTGTGTCCCGCTTCCTGCCCCTTTTGGGGCAGAAAGGCTCATTCACAAGTCCAGGCCAGAGTCAGCACAGGCTTCAGTTTCAATACTGTGGCTACAACCAGTGCACAGATGGGGTGCATTAGAGCCTGATGATTTAGAAAGTTGAGTTAAATGCCTAACTGTGAGGAAAGAGTGAGGGAACTGCAGCAGGCCTTGCACAAAGATGCCTTTATTTTATTCCACAGCCACCCCTGGCGTTAAATAATCTATAGATTCTTATGCAAGTCCGCTTGACTGAAAGATCATTGCCCCAGCCCCCTCCTTGGAAAATGAGTCTTTTAAATTTTTCTTTTCTTTTCTTTTTTTTTTTTTCTCCTTTCCATTTAAGAAAGTTCAGGGAGAGAATGTCTGTCCTGTTCTCCCCTCTTGACTTAATCTCCTACGTGGTTTCAGAGTCTGCCCAGTGGGAGTTGGGAGCTGGGAAGCAGATAACTGGCGCAGCAGTGTAATTAAATGACACTTTGTCCTTGTAATAGAACCTTTCATCTGAAAACTTGACATTCGCTGTTTGGCCAAAAAAAAAAAAAAAAAGTCGGCCATTATTATGGAGAGGGGGTCACAAAGGTCCCAAGAATGAACACTGAGTATATGCTCAAGCAGAGAACTAGAAACAGTACCTGGACTTCTGCTCCCTTTCTGCCCTTGTGGTTTAGTTTAGATAGAACTGTGTAGTTGTAGGTTTTAAACAATTCAGATCTATATTTATGTGGTGGAAAAATCCTGCACTAGGTCCTTCACCTTCTCAGCTTGCTCCAGATGCCTAGAAGCCTCCTTGCCCACAATCAACTCTCCAACCTCTGAGTCTCAGTTTTGTACCCATAAAATGGGTAAAATAATATTTGTGTGTGTAAGAGCTGGTAGCTAGAATTTATTGTTAGCTGACTATGTGCCACCTTTCATTTAACAGTCTTATGAGGTAGGGTGGCTTTTTTTTTTTTTTTTTTAAGGGTTAGGTTTACCTCATTGGGTTGTTATGAGGCTCAGATGAGATCATGGATGTGTGGGTGGTTCGCAGATTACAAAGCTCTATGCAAATATGTAGTCCCCTGGCTTCTTTTGGCCTTACTGTTTAAAGAAAAAAAAGGTGAGATGGGGCCACCAGCGGGATTACTTCTGCATGACACCAAGCAGATTTAGTTTAGCCAAGGTAGTTTCACTTTAGACCCTGAAGTACAGGAGGTGGATACAAGAGGTAGGAGTGCTAGAAGTCAACAAAGCTGAATATGTCTGCTATAAAACAAAGGTAACACAGCATTTGCTCTGTAGGATGGTAGGGAAGCGGGGGAACTCTTTGAATTGATGACAGAACTATCTAGGGAATGTGCTGAGGCATCCTACAGTTTCTTTCCTGGGGGTGTTGTGGTCTAAATGCTGGAGTGTTTGCACGCAGAGGTATTTTGAGTTGGCATGAGGGATTGCTCACACTGTTGTTTCTCCCTTAATGGTGCAAGGCCCAGTATAAAAATATACTTTGGTTATAAAATAATAATAGCTTCAGTTGAAACAATTAGTTGCCCTGAGTGAGAACAGTCTAAGCACTCATTTTAGTGGAGCCAATCTATCTACTGGGGAAACCTGGATCTTCACAAAGCTTTAGAATTAGATTTTTCTGTCGGTAGCCTTTTCCCTGCCTCCCTACTACCCCTCAAAGGCATCGTGAAGTAAGCCGTTTAGGAATGGTGAATTGGATTCATCTGTCAGGAACCCACTTTGGGGAAGTGTGGCTTCCTTCCAAAATACTTAGGTTACTCTAGTGCTCTGAGCTGTTGGAGGAAAGGTATTGTGGGGACTGTAGAGTGGGTGTCCAGGGCAGGTAGAGGGAAATCTTTTGGTCACATCCTCAAACTATCCAGTTAATGCTGTGTGAAATCTGCGGATTGTCTTCTGGTGACAAAGACAGAATTCCTAGCATTGAAGATTACCCAGTCCAAGCACCTCTTCATGGGGAAACAAGCCATGTGTGCCTCAGTGACCAGCCAGAGGTGACACAGCCCCGGAACTAGGAATCTCTGTCTCACATCACCTCAGATGTGCTCTGCGTTAGGAGCCCCGCCTGACTAATTCCCACCTGCTGGGCAGTTTCTCTGAGGTTGGGAACTTTTAGAAGGCAGGTTGTTTTTCTTTCCCTGTGGGGTTCCATTGGGCTTCCTGTGGTGACATTTTAGTTTTCTCTACCTGTTTAGAGATTAGATGCAGTATTGTATTGAGTTCAGAGAAAAGATGTCCTGGAGCCTTGTATTGATCTAGTGGCTACTGAGAGGCAGACTCAGCCCTCAGTTTCCCAGCCACCACTTCTAAGTACTAATGTTCTATACCTGTGATTCTTAAAAATACTCGTACTCCCAGTACAGTGGGCTTAGAGGTAGTAGGCATGGAGGGGATGCTGGTGTGGAAGTTCAAAGACATGTCCCATCCTGTCACTTCTACCTGGCAGGGATTTGTTTCTCTTAATCCCACTGCCTGCCAGCTTGTGCTTTTAATGTGCCATAAACTAATGCCCTAGATTGTTA